TCCATGTTTGCCTCCAAAATGTATTCTTCTCTGGGACAGAGAAAACAATGTCTTGAGATTCAACCGTCATTTATTCTGATGTATTTTAGTTTGGACAGATGTACATTAGGCCTTCAAGCAGCTGGAAATTGTACCAAAGATAAGTGAGCCAGACTTTTGATGCCCACAGGTCTGTTCTTCTTATCTTGAGCTGCTTTATTCAGACTGTTCCATTGTCCCATTAGGAAGCCTTGGCTCCACCCTAAATAAATCCAGAGCCTCGTGTTTCCTAAATTATTTAAAAATCAACCTATTTAGTCACAAAATCATAATATAAGTTTCTAGGATATTATTAATTGTTTAAAATTGTTGTAATTTGAATTTATTTAAACTTCTAAATTTGAATAGAAAATAAAAAAAAAAACAGCTTTTTATTTTCTGAAATTTAGAAAGTTGAGGTAATTTTGATAATTCTAATGGACCTGTTTAAAAAATGAACTTGTATTGACAATTCTAGTGAGGAAAAATGTTATCTTTTCATTCAGTGATTGTAAATATCTCAATCGTACGTTTACATATCATTGCTGTATGAGCTTGATGTGCTTCATTTTCATTTCAACTGTATTTATACAGGTTGTTTAATTGAGGTCCAAGATCTCACTTCCTAGAAAGACCAGTTTCACACAGATTTGGTTTTTTTCTCCCCCCCACTCAGATATCTGTTTGAGTTAAATGGACCAGAATCCAGTGACCAGTGCAACCAATGGCTTGAGTGGGAAGCCACGGTTCTTCAGGTACATTTATTATGTTGCTTAAAATCTTTTTTTTTTTTTTTTTCATTTTAACACATCTCAACATGACTATAAACTGTGAATGAATGAGCTTCTGTTGTGATTTCATTTCCCAGCCTGCACTGCTACGGGCTCTTCACATGGCCGTGCTTCAGGGAAAAGGATCAGAGGTGTCCAAGGTCCTTCAGAGTCCTCTAAATGTCTTGGACCAAAGCCTTGGCAAGGGAAACATGTCATATTTAACTGGGGTACGGTTTAAAGTATATAATCAGACACTGGTCATCATAAAGAAAACCCTCCACTTCCTTCTTAAAGCAGTAGCAAGGCTCAGAGTTGCATTCAAAAGCAGAATAGTTCATGTCAGAGGCTGAACACAATTTAATAGGAATTCATCGTTCTGTTATCATCAGGTTTTTTTTAACTAAAGTGTTACATTTTGTACTACTCTTATATTATTTTGGGTGATTTAATTCTGGCATTTTTTTCCTGTGTGGTACCTTGCTGCTGCTATGTTGAGAGCAGATTTCCCATTAGTGATTGATCTGTTGTTCTTCTTTTATGACATTCTCACACAGTTTTTTATGCTACTGTCATTAATGGTTGAGAGGTGGAATATGATAATAAATCGTTTTCCAAATGTTTTTTTTTTTATTATCCTGAGTGGGGGTTGTTTTGAAAGCAGGAGCTTAGAGCTGAAGCTGATGCTTCTTCTAAGTCAGGTGTGGTCTTTGAAAGTTAGAAAATGGTGGTGGCGCAACGACTAGTAAACTAGTAATAAATGACTCCCCATTTTTTGGTTTTAAAAACAAAAGGTGCATACTGCTTTTAATGCACGAAATGAAGAGAAAGGTATTCAAAATGTTGAAAAAAATATATATTCAGTTGTATATTTTGAACATTACTTTACCTGCACCGTTTCAGTAAGAACTGCGGCTTCTGGGGGCATTGCAGTTGTTTTTCCAACTGGGACAATCTGACCTTCATGCAAAAGGAAACATTAATATCCAGACTGTGGATATTAATGCTGGGCTGGTAGGGGGATTAGCAAATTCCTATGAATGCCATTAGCCTGCTCTGGGGCTCCACTGCTGTTAAAGCTGTCACACTTCACCCACCTGTAAAAATGGTTTTATATTGTTTAAACAGTTTAGTTTACACTTATGAATTTTTTTTGTGTTGGTTTGATTGAACTAAGCTTTATTTGACCATCCAGCAGCACTGCTTTGCCTGGGCAGCCTGTAGGACACTTGGCTTTATTGAGGCTGAAAGGAAATGGATATGATTTAATAAAGAAATAAAATCTTTGGAATTTTTATAAAAATTCTATCCTTTTGACTCCCCTGTATCCTTATTTTTTATTTTTCTAGACTGGTTATGAAGCCATTTTTTAAATAAATGATAATTTCATTGTCAGTATCAGTTATTTGTTGATACCGTTAATACACTATATTTTGCGTCATCTTAAATTTTGTTAATGAAGCTTTCCTGTGTTACAGAAAGATGTTTCAGTTGCTGATATTGTATTATGGGGTGCACTACACCCTGTTTTATTCAACTCATCTCTGGCTTTGAGTAAGTTAACTTTGTTTTTTATCAAACAAATTAAATATTTTACAATAATTTAATTTCCTCATTTTTTTAGTTTAAGTAATTCCCTTTCCTATCCTTAATATTATTGCCTCTTTTCCATCTGCTGTCTCTCTTTTTCAGGCGATCATAAGTTTGTGAAGGCCTGGTTTGACCGTGTTGCTGCCATGAGTGGTTGTCAGTCTGCGGCTCAAAAAGTGCTGCAGGGAAAAGGCCTGGAGGCCATGAAGAGCTACATGCAGAGACAGCCTGCACCTCAGAGCAGAGACACACAGCCATGCAACAGCAGCCCTGTTGAGGTATCTGCAAGATCATCACTTTGGCTTTTTTTTTTTTTTTTTTACAAACTTTAGGTGTCTCTACTGAAAAGTAGAAACTTCACATTAGAAAAGTAGAAAAACTTTACGGCTTACAGTAGTTGAGAAATGTCTAACCGTGGGGTTACAGGGAATTTATTTTCACCCTCTTAATATATAACTGCACTATTAGTATTATATGGCGTAACAACATTAGCAGGCAAGAGAGGTTTAAGTTTTATTGATAAAACTGCTGCAAAACCTGGCTTCAGTCTGCTCCAAATCAAGCAGTTGTATATTCAAAGGGAGTCCTCCCTGCAATGGTAAAATGTGGATTCAGTCTTTCTGTACATTAAGAATAGCAATATAAGTAATGTTTATTTCTGTTTTTGGGTTAGAGTGAAGAAGGTGAGCGTGTTGTTTCAGAGGAGGAAATGGAAGCGGCAGCTCTGACCTGGAGGAAGGATATAAACGCCTGCTCTCAGACAACAGAAAAACAACATCCAATGTAAGTGATGTAAGCTCAATACTGAATGTTTTCTGCTGGTGGTGTTGTTTCAAGCTGGCTCATTTCCCATAGGAGAGGATGATATGTTTTCTTGCAACGAGCATTTAAAGATAGCGAAGAAAACTGACATTTTTTTTATGTTTCTGTTCTTTTCTTTTTTTTCCTAACAGTATGCCAAAGGAGGGCATGAGGAACGTCCTGATCACCAGCGCCTTGCCATATGTCAACAATGTTCCCCACCTGGGTAACATCATTGGCTGTGTCCTCAGTGCAGATGTCTTCTCCAGGTAGGAATTTAAATTCCCTCTTTTTTTCTCTCTCTCTTTACGTTTTCTTTCTTACCACTACCCGTTCCTCCGTGTCTCCCAGGTATGGCCGCCTGCGGGGTTGGAATGTGTTGTTTGTCTGTGGCACAGACGAGTATGGAACAGCTACCGAGAACAAGGCCAGAGAGGAGGGACTGACGCCGAAGCAGATATGTGACAAGTACCATGCTGTTCACTCCAGCATCTACAGATGGTTCCAGATTGACTTTGACTTCTTTGGGAGAACCACCACAGAGAAGCAGACAGAGTAAGTTCATTTGGCTCTTTAAAGTGTGACTCACTTCATGGAAAAACCGAATCCTGCTCCCAGACAAACTTGGAAATTCCTTTCAAGGTGGTCGGTACCAAGAGATGCTGACTGGCAGGGCTAAGCGTAGGGATGTGCAGTGGGGGATTAGCGTGAGACACCAGTAGTTATACCACAGGCAAACCTTTTGAGGGGGAGGATTTTTACAGTAACGAGTAACGCATAGATTTCCCCCTATAGGCCAAATTTAACCTGTTTAAATGTTAAAAGTTTTTTGGGGGGGTTAGTTTAACTTTTAAGTTAAAAGATAAAAAAAAAAAAAACATAAATGAGAAAAAAAACATTTAGTAACGTGAAGCCTTTCAACAGCAATCAAAACTTTATTTTTTTATGTATTCTTATCCTGACCTTATTTGATAATTAATGCACTGGAAGGATCGGAATACTTCTAGTTATTATAAGATTACATAACGTTAATAGGATTACTGTAATATTATGCATCCTGCTGCAAAAGTTTATTTCTCTTAACCAGAAATTTTATTTGATTCTTTCAGCTTTTGCAACATATGAAAGTTCTAAGTTTGTCTTTGCTGTTTCTTTTCAATTGTTTATTTTGAAGGAGCAGTAATTAAGAAATGTAATATATATAATAACCAAAAGCAATATTTTTTGTCACCCATGATGGAAAGAATATTCCCTATAACAATTTTGTACTCCCTATGAAGAGTGTGTTACTCAAGGTGTTCCCCTTTCATACCTTGAGGTTGGATGCAGGTCTACTGCGGTGCATTGCATAGCCATGCTTACTTCCATGAGCCAATCCTATGAGAATTCCCAGGGTAGCCAAAACGGAGCACAGCATCTGGTAGTTTATGTTGGCAAAAGAGCAGCAGCCTGCAAACATGGAAGCCAGCAAGAGAAGTGGTCCAGAAATAATCTCAACAAAACCTAAGAAGCATCAGCATCCTTCAATGTATTTGAACAGCAACTTACTGTGGCTCAAAGGTTTTCACTTGTAATCTTTAATTCAGCTGAGCTAAACTCATGTCATGTACAGAAAAATGTGCTTTACAAAAACATTTCAACATGATCAACATATTATACCACTTGGTATGATTTCCTTGTGTTAATGGAACATATGTTATTCTTCTAAATATGGAAGATATTTCATGTGAATACCATTTTCTTTCATAACTTCTAACATACTTTTTGGAAAAGATCGAAATTAGGATGGGATATATTGTCATAATGAAGTGGGTAAAATTATCCAAACATTGAAGTTATTCCACATGTTGTTCCCGTGTTACGTGATAAAATTTCCAGGGTTAGAACGTGTCAAAAAAATATTTTTCCTCCCATTTCACTTGTTTTTACACAGTGTAATTATCACACATGGAACCTGCAGGGAAATGCCCCACATGTGATAGATATTCCACATGTGTTTTACAGATTGTAATATGAGTTTTAAAATATCGGCATATCGGATATCGGCCAAAATCCCAATATGGTGCATCCCTAATATATCTACATATCTGTCACAAGTGAAACATGTATAATAAAACATTTCATATGCAGCTTGTTTCAAGCCATGTTTTTGTAAAAATTGAACTTTTGGAAAAGATTTTATACATTGGGAGGATGTTTTCCATACATACAGTATTTGATCATTGATAAATGAGAAAGGCATGTGAAAATCTTTCATCAAAGGATCCAAAGAAAAATGTTTGTCCATGATTCATAGATCAGCCTTCATATATTTTATGAAGGCTGATCTTTTTACATTTTATTATACATTTTATTCCTCTTAAATGCTTAGCCACAGTATGTTCTTTACATGTAATATTGCATATATATATAAAACGTTATTTTCTGTGCCATCGTAGCTTTCGAAATTATGGGTTTTTCATACATCAGGCATCTTTGCTCCAAAAAAGCTTAGACTTAAATCCAAGGGCTTTTACTCCAAAAATGCTAACGGACAGAAGTCTTATTTTTAGGCCTTTGTTTTTGATACAAAGCAACTTAAAAGGGCATCAAACAAGTCAAATCATGTTGTTTTTTTTTTTTTTTAAGAAAGAAAAACAGCCCTTAAGATTAAAGACTTTTCACTTGTTTGAGGAGAAATGCTGGAGGCTTATCTTTAGATTTTAGATTTACCAGCCCACAAACAGACTATCGCTTCTATTTGACTGTGTTTTTGAGTTATTCCCGCCCATCAATAACTTGAACTTTCCCTCTTTGATATTCCACTACATGGGCGGCTTTATGTCTTTTTTTCTTTTTGTTGACCTGTAAATTCAGATAAAAAAAAAATTTTAAGTTGCAGCAAATTTCTCAACTGTAGTGAATATGGAATAAGTCTGTTCTAAAATGTATGTTGTATCTTAAGTAGCAGATGGTGGACTTGTCCCCTCAAAATCCTGTTGTCCTGGAATTTAATACTCCTTTACCTTTTAAAAAAAGAGGGGAAACATCCAATATTCCCACATTACTGGCAATATTTAAGTGTCATGTTTGTTTCCTTTATTCTAGGATCGCTCAGGATATTTTCTGGCGACTCCAGAAAAATGGGTTCCTTGTAGAAGACACGGTGGAGCAGCTTCGCTGTGAAAACTGTCAACGGTTCCTGGCTGACCGCTTCGTAGAGGGTATATGTCCCCACTGCAGTTATCCAGAGGCTCGAGGCGATCAGTGTGACAAGTGTGGGCGGCTCATCAACGCCGTGGAGCTTAGGGTGAGTTTGTGTATCTGAGGGGGTTCTGGAAGGTTCAGTCAAAAATTACCTTTTTTTTGTGAGTGTGTGTTTCATGAACAAGCAAAACAAAAGTTTACAGTCAGAGCAACAAAATCTTTTTTTAACCCTTTCAGCTCTGGGGTCCTTTTCACAAAGCAGGTTCAACAAACTTTAAATTGATTGAGCCTAAGTTCGAAAGCTCTTGGGCAGGGGCGGTTCTAGGAAAATATTTCCAGAGGGCAAGGTGGGGCCATAGTTTTTTTTCATGGGGGCACAGAAAGAACAATGGAAAAAAAGGATTTTTTTTTTTTTTTTTTTTTTTTACGTTTTTGTTTATTCATAGCACCAATGAAACAACAATTATTTCTATTCAAACTATTTCACATATTGCACATGAGAACAATAAACCTTTACAAACAGTTTTTGTACACTAACACTCCTTTAACTTTGATGTATTAAGATTGTATAATCTGTGTAGGTATATGTTTGTTGTTGTACATGTACTGAAAATGTGACCTACAATCACATTTTCAATTCAGCAGTTTCTCATGCTTTTGCAAAGGCAACACCAAATCCTGTAACACTACAATAAAAGTGCTCTGCGTTTGTGGTTTCTTGCAAAATAGTCCACAAATGTATCAAGTTCCACAGCCTTTGCCCTTCTGGATTCAATGCTTAGCATCCCTAAACTGCTAAGACGTTCATCAGTAATGGTGGACCGGAGGTAGATTTTCACTCATTTTAGTTTGGAAAAACTCCTTGCAACAGCGAATTTGCACAGTCTATAGAGCTTGTAGAATACTTATTTGAAGGGTTCAATGAGATTGATCAACTCCACTGTATCAGAAGGGTTTTCCAGTCTTATGACTCTTTATTTTTCTCTTTAAAAGTCTTCTGAACTTATGGAGTTCAGGTCCCAGATCCTCGACATTGGCATCACAAAGATGACAAAATTCAAACAGTTGTCTTTTAAAAATGCATCACTCTTGGGGTTAAGAGATTGGATACAACTCATCAGCTCACAGTTGGTCTTTGAATAACATCTGTAGGACATGTCTGAGGGCAGACAATCTGTCCATTATGTTACATAGGGCTATGAACGGACAAGCCTATCGTGTGTCTCACAGTTTTTGGAGCTCTCTTGTGCTGCCATACATTTCAGTTTGTACAGCCAGCCATTTGGCGTGCACATATGAGTCAGAAGTGAAAACATAAAGACTCTGAAACAACCCAAAGAATTCCTCTGCTTCTGGTACTGCTTTGACAGAATCAACTAGCACTAAATTAAGGCAGTGAGCACTGCAGTGGATGTAAAATTCAAATTTTGCTTGTTCTCCGATTCTCGCCTGGACCCCTGAATGCTTACCACTCATCAGCTCATTCATATGCCCGGCCTATAAGGTTGTTTTATAGTCTAGGCCATGGTGTTCCAATACGCGGACCACCGTCTTTGTTGTGTACTTTGCATTATGAATGGATGTTAGTCTGTGTTGAACAGCTGCACCATGATTTACAAAAGTTGCAAGGATTTCCCTGAATTATCCTCTGTTACTTCATTCCTGTGACTCATCGTGTCCTCTCTGTGCTATGTATTGTCTAGCTGTGAGCAAGATGACTGGAAGTATAGATTTATCTAACAGTTCTACCGATTGGGAGCATATATAGTAAAGAGAATTGGTCTTAGCACTGATCCCTGTGGTGCTCCACAGGTAACCCTGGAGTACGAGGAAGATTTACCATTAACGTGAACAAACTGAAATTGGTCAGATAGATAAGATTTAAACCAATCTAGAGCTGTTCCTTTAATTCCTACAAAATATTCATTCTATTCAATTCAACTCAAAAGAACTCATTCATTCATAACTCATTATTGTAACAACCAAAATTGTGCCGACCAGGTTTGCACGCCGATATGTAAGATCACACCTGCTGTGGCGGCTGGAAACTTTTGAGTTGTCCAGATTTTAGTTGACTCAGCCTTTGTTGAAAATTAGACTTTTTTTTTTTTTTTTTTTTTCGTGAGTAAATGAAGTTCAGTCTTTTTATTTAACACCTTTAATTTTACTGGAAGCTTGATCACTCAAACTTATTTTAAGCTCAACTTGTTCCTACATATCTTTTTACTTTTTTCTTACAAATAATACATTAGGAATTGGAAGGATTATCTGGTTTTGCCTCACTGAATTAAGAAGTTAACAGCCGAAGTGTTTTACATTCATATATTTTTTCCATACGCCTGTTGGTGGAGAAATGTTAGGAGTCTTTGCTGTATTTATTTTTAATTTTATGGAGATGTTTTTCTGTAAATGTTATATTGCCGTGACCTGTTATTGCTATCACTTCAGACCTGCCTGTGCTCTGGACCTTTTTTAAAAGGCCTCTTGTTACCTTGATCCATAAATAATCCATGATCCACAATTTGGAAAAAAATATATATTTTTAAGTCTACAATTCAGTAATTTGTAAATTGATGTTGTTTCAGGAACCTCAGTGTAAAGTCTGCAAGCAGACTCCAGTAATCCGCTCTTCCAAGCATCTTTTCTTGGACCTGCCAAAGGTAACGTTTAAGCTTTGCTTTACAATGCTCCCTTTTGTTTAAGTTTGTTTTTTCTGTGGAAATGTTTTAAAGACACCTTTTCATTTTCAAAAGCTGTACTATAAAGTTAAAAAAAATTTTTTTTTTTTTCGGGGCTGCTCAGTGGTGCAGTGGGTAGCACTGCTGCCTTGCAGCAAGAAGGTCGTGGATTCGATTCCTGGCCTGGGGTCTTTCTGCATGGAGTTTGCATGTTCTCCCTGAGCATGAGTGGGTTCTCTCCGGGTACTCCGGCTTCCTCCCACAGTCCAAAAACATGACTGTTAGGTTAATTGGCTTCTCTAAATTCTCCTTAGGTGTGAGTGTGTATGTGAATGGTTGTTTGTCTCTGTGTTGCCCTGCGATGGACTGGCGACCTGTCCAGGGTGTACCCCGCATCTCGCCTGTAGACAGCTGGAGATGGGCACCAGCACCCCTCGCGATCCTACTTGGGATTAAGCGTGTCAGAAAATGCATGGATGTATGGATATTTATTATTTATATTTTATTTTTTTCTTGTTTTCTTGCCTTTTAATGCAGCTTGAAACTCAACTGGAGCAGTGGTTGGAGAAATCAACCAGCTCAGGAGACTGGACAGCAAACGCCAAACAAATAACTCGCTCCTGGCTAAGAGATGGACTCAAGCCTCGCTGCATCACCAGGGACTTGCAGTGGGGAACGCCAGTACCTCACCCTGACTTTAAAGAGAAGGTTTGCTTTGATATTTTCTGTAAAATACAGCAACAAAGCTCAGTGTGCAGATGGGCAGAAAAGCGTCTCTTTTCTTTTTGATGTTAGTTGATTCATCATATATGGTTGGTTTTCACAGATTGTGTTTTTATATATTTGTTTGAGAAATTGAAAAATCTAAAAGACGTTAATTCCTTCTGCTAAGTATTCTTAGATTTTTGAAACTAAACTATGATTTTGCAAAGGATGGTATGGAGTTTGAAATTGAATCAGCTATTTAGGAAGTACTGTCTATATTTGAGCTTAACTTATTTAGCTCTCAGTCAAGTCATAGATGTTTCTTTGGTAAGAAAAGAGATCTGAAATATATTCTCACATGAATGTTTTAATGAATTATCTTGAAGTTCAGATTAATCTGGATCTTGCACAATCACTAAAAGATTATTTACCCAAATTTAAAATGATATTCAGAATTTTCTTCTTTACTCTAACCATAAATGTATGTCTTTGTTCTTCTGCAGGTGTTCTACGTGTGGTTTGACGCCCCTATTGGCTACCTGTCTATTACTGCCAACTACACCAGCGATTGGGAAAAGTGGTGGAAAAATCCGCATCAGGTACCAGGCTCTACTGAGCCCTACAAAGGACTAATGCACAATCTTGACACAGATATTTGTCCTCGTTTCCACCTAGAGTAGACCCAGTTGTATTTTGCATTTCCCCATGTGGGTTTTTTTTTGTCCCCATCTGTGGGACATGGAGTTACCAACTAAACCCTGAGGTTTAGCAGATATTGAGGTCATTTGTATCCAGAAGATTCCCAATCACATATAGGCACTTGCTTTGTAAAATCAATGAGCTCAATGTCGATTAAAAAAAAAACTTCCACTTGTGAGTGACTATTGGCATCTACAATCTATTTGAGGTTTTATTTTTGTCTTATTCGTGAAGTGGCCCAGAATAACTTGACATTTTCTCTGCAGAATAAAAATCATATAGTAAGCTCATGACTCACTTATCTTCCTCACACATTAACCAATTGGGGAAACTGACATGTTGACGTAATTACATGGACACCAGTACACTGAACTGACCCGTACTGTGACATTCTGTCCCTTTTAAACCTCTTTGATTCATCTCATCCCTCTTCATGTAAAACCCTGGGATTGAGGCTCTAGAGTGAGTGTGTTAGCCTGTAGGTGCGGGGGTTAGATAAGTCCTCTTTGAACTGGATGATCTCATGGTGATCTAATATGATGTCATCCTTAAGACGCAGTGTTGTCTCTACCACCAGGTGGAGCTGTATAACTTTATGGCAAAGGACAATGTGCCATTCCACAGTGTGGTGTTTCCCTGCTCCCTTCTGGGAGCCCAGGACAACTACACTCTGGTTAACCATCTAGTTGCCACTGGTGAGCACTTCCCATCTCTGATCAGGTTCACCCAATAATTTATTTGCTAATGTTATTTACATAAATGGCTGACTTCCTCCTTCTACTTTAATTCCTCAGAATATCTTAATTACGAGGACACCAAGTTCTCTAAGAGCAGGGGTGTTGGTGTGTTTGGAGACATGGCAAAGGACACGGGCATCCCCTCAGATGTATGGCGTTTCTACCTGCTGTACGTCCGTCCAGAAGGACAAGATTCAGCTTTTTCTTGGGCTGATATGGCTTTAAAAAACAACTCTGAGCTGCTTAACAATCTGGGAAACTTCATCAACAGGTAATGACGAAAAACTTTAACAAGGATCTCTTTAAAACTGAAAACAGAACAATCTTTCAGAGAGCTGCAGAACTAATGTTCATCTAGATATTCTGTGATGCAGAAGCTTTTTTTTTTTTTTAAATAAAGCTTAAGTTACAAATGTGTTTTTTATGTTTGTATGAAACACAATAACTTGTGTAACTGAAATGAAAGAAAAAGGATACATGGTTTACAGATTTCCATGTTACAGCTCACACAATTATTCAGCCTCTTTTTGACCCAACTGTTGCATTCAAAAGCTACATAATGCAAATTATCATTGAAGGATTTCACTATAGGAATGCAGAAAAAGAGTCGAAGAATTAGTGTTTGTTTTTCATTAGCACATCAAAAAATATTTAATGCTTATTGCAGAGCATATAAATAACAATAAAATACAATGTATGATATAATATAAAAGGCTTGACAAGTTAACAGCAAGTTTTGGGGCAGAAAAGAGGTGGCATTCAGCAAAACTTAAATGTAGTTTTAACGTCCAATTCTTAATTGCAGAACAGAGCAAGGATGTGCATAAGCATACAGTAGGAGAATAAATACATTTTTACACTTAACTAAAAAAAAACAGTTGAATACATAAAATTTTGGCAGAGATTCACTATTTAGAAGGTCAGAGACTGAGAAAATTAGCTTAACCTACAATGGATTGGTTTAGCTTAAACACCCTCCATAGGTCACCAGTTTGTTACCTACTTGAACATTCATATTAAATGATAATTTAGGGAGACAAATAAGCCTAATGGTTGTTTTTGGACTAGGAACCAAATCACCACATGAGTAGGGAAGAATTCAAACACAGGCTGAGAGTTATAAATCAGGACCTTGGCACTGCTAGGCCACAGTGGCACCAAGTACACCGCTCTCCAACCCACTTTAAGCTCTCATAACATAAATTGCAGGTTTTGGTTGTTGTTGGTTGGTATATGTGTAAAACTTTGATGAGTTACACAAAGCTCTTTTTCACTTTAGTAGTTTTACTTCACTGCTTAGAGGAAAACTGGGGCAATGCATCTCAAGTTGCTCACTCTCCCTATAAGGGTTTCACTCAAAGTAAACATGCAGCAATACTGTCATCAAGTCCAATTAACAACTTGCGCTGTACTCTTTGGAAAAAAATCTGTTACATCAGTCACTATTACAAGATGTGTACCCCAGGTTTCTAAATTCATTTTGGATGGCGTCATTTAGCCCTAATTGCATCGCCTCAAATGTTTTTTAAAAGATCCATGTTAAATCCCACTTCAAAGATATTTCTCAGCAGCTTTTTTTTTTCAGAGTACCTTGATCTTCAAAATTAGTTACGGGCAGCAATGTTAATGTCTAATTGGTTGAAAAATATCTTGTAGATTGCATCCTGCCTTAGGTGGAAAGAGTTCTGCTAATTCAGAACTGAATTTCTGACCTTTCCTGATCCAATCTCGGAGTCACTACATCATTTTGTACAGTTTAGACTCAGATTGCTAAATAATCAGGGCTGCAATTTGATCTGTTTTATAAGATTTTAGGGCACAGTCTGAAAAAAAAAAAATGGGGGGATAATGTATGCAAGAGTTATAGTTAAAACAGTTTCAATAAATAAATGGAAAAGGCATTTCTTTGGCATTAAAACCACAGTTTACTAAAACCACAGAGCCCTTGTTTCTGGTCTAAAAGGCCGGTTTAGATATGTTAAATATTAAACACAGTGTTGCATCACACCAAAAAGGAAAAAAAAAAAAAAAAACTACACATGAAACTTAAAAAAAATGGTACAAATATGACTTGATTCAGGCAGTATGCTAAATCCAGCAAGGCAGTGTGGTTGATATGACACCAAAATGTATAATTTATACACAGTTAGCAAGTCAAGCAGCATGTCCTTCAATGGTTTCACCCTTACCTCTTTTTTTTTTCCTCTCAAGGTTTTTATGTTCATTTTTCATTCTGGTCCTTTTCTCTTTTTTTTTCCTACTATGTTTAATATGTTCTGAACAAACGTCCTGTCTCTCTCAGGGCTGGCATGTTTGTGACCAAGTTCTTTGGAGGATGTGTGCCTGAAATGGAGCTACAGCAGGAAGACAAGAAGCTCCTGGCTGTGGTGGGCTGGGAGTTACAGCAATACATCCAGCTGATGGACAAAGTCAAGTAAGATGTTTAAATAAAGCAGAACTCATCTAGTTTGGAAAATGTTTTAGAGCGCTGTGTTAATACAGGTATTCACTCTTTGTTTAAAATATTTCACCAGGATCCGCGATGCCCTGAAACACATCCTGAACATTTCTCGCCATGGTAACCAATACATTCAAGTCAATGAGCCTTGGAAGAAAATAAAGGGAGGAGAGTCAGAAAGGTAAGATGGAAAGTAATGAGATGATAATTTCTTTCTGGCTACAATATAATGATTTTTATAGATCAACAATAAAACATAAAAAAAGTGTTCTTTTTTGTGCAACAAATATAGGAAAGCGCCGTCCAATTCAATTTCAGCATTAGGTGTTCTTTGGTAGGAGTCCTTTTGCATCCCATAGTTTAGATTTCTGCTCAGATTTTGCTCCATACGCTTAAAAATGTAGAAAATCTTCATTTGGTTTTAGCCTTTTTATTGATAAGTGCAAAAAGGAAGAGAACAGAATTTGAACTCTTCCGTTTCCAGCAAAGCTCTGAAGGTTTTAAGTTAGTTATATATTTTTGCTTATAATTATGTCATTCTTAAAAAAAAAGAAAACAAATAAGTGATTCCATTGAAATACAAGTAATTCTTGATAATAATGACACCACCAAAGTAGTTTATATGCTTAATTTATTTTTTAAATTGTCAGCAAATGTTGGGGTTTTCTTCCTGCAAACCATGTGAATCTTATTTTAATATATATTTATATGGACATATCCTTAGAACAGCAGACTGATGTCACGTTTAACATAATTAGTTAATGTTGGAGATTTCTGCAGCTCCTTTGTTGTTGCTGCTGGCCTCTTGGCAGTCCCCCAACCTTTGCCCAGCTCGGATTTACTTAAATCTTAGAAAAACATCCGTTACTGCCAATATGGTTACTAAAGGTACGACTGATTAGGATAAAGCAGTTCTAAAACCTCAGTCAATATGCAAAAGTGTTACTCTATGAAGACCGGAATAAATAAAAAAATGGTTTATAAAGGCCAAGGCTTGCTTTTATGTATATTTCTTTCAGATTTAATGAGTGATTATTAAATGATTTTAAGTTCTTTATTATTTAGATAAGGTAATTTGGTTCTGTTTAAAAAAAAAAAAAAAAAATTTTTTTATTCGGCGTGTCTATGTTCAGAATCTCAAACTGTAGCTCAGCCTGTCTTCATTTTCCCGATGTGTTTGATTAGCTGATGTGAATGGTTTGTTGTTTTCAGGCGGCGCGCCGGCACCGTGACGGGGGTTTCTGTGAATATCTCCTGCTTGCTGTCGGTGATGCTCCTGCCTTACATGCCAGCGGTCAGCCAGACTATCAGGGATCAGCTCAACGCTCCTCAGTCTTGCATCAATACCATGCTGCTAGGCCCCGGCTCCTTCGTGTGCGCCCTGAGAGCGGGTCACCGCATCGGCACCGTGAGTATGACCTCCACTAATGCGAAAAAACACGAGTGGCACCTGTGCAGACACACAAACCTGCTGTACTGTCGAAGCAGGGTGATACAATGAGAACGCAACAGTCTGTCACGATTTCAGGACTGTCGAGAGTGTTGCAGATTTGTGAACACACACCAACTCACACACACACACAAACTTTTGAATAATGGGTTAGGCAGTGTGGGGAGGCCTTCAACTTCCAGCAAACAACACATTTCTCTCAGGCCATTTGAGAAGCAAGATATCACTAATTGTGGTATCTTGTCTGAGCAGCCTGCACATGCTTCATTCAAACACTTAGGCTGGCATGTCTGGTGAGAAATGAGTATGAGAAAGACAAGAGCATAAAAAGCTTATGTAGACACTCCTTCATTGTAGTGCAGTATTTCATTAAGTATGACCTAAAACTTACATAAAAAATCTCTCTGGAAATTATTGACTTTCTTGCGTAATCCACTTTATTCAAAGATGAGCTCTGTTAGCCTTGGGCTCAATGCCTTTTTTTTAAATTCCTGCATATGTATCGGTTTTAATGTTCGTCTCTCACTACCTTCCCTGTTTCCCAATCTTTTTTATTCCCAGGTCAGTCCGTTATTCCAGAAACTGGAGGCGGATCAGATCGAAGCTTTGAAGAAGAGGTTTGGTGGACAGCAGGTAATTTGACGTTTATGATGCCTAATGGTCTGCGCATGAGCCTAGTCTGGTTATCTGTTGATTTAGATTCATTATCATTTATGAAAAGTGAAATAAAAATATAAAACGTGTAGCTGTTCTCAGACTGTCATCATGGATTAGAATTGACTCATAATTGAGGTTGATTTTTTTTTTTTTTTTTTAAACAAGATGGGGAGAAAATGTGTCTAAAATGCATAAATTATGAATGGTGCATCCATCATATAGATAAAAATAATCCTTGTTAATCCTTGCCTCCAGCCAGAAGACGAACCATCTAATAAGAAGGTATTGAGTGGCGTTTGTTTGTGAAGAGTGGGTCCACACTGGTGCTGCTTGTCATTTTAGATTAGTAAATGCCATTAACAGTTGCAGCTAATTTAATGTTTTGAATTTTTACTAATCTTGGTTTGATTCGCCGTTTGCCAGCTTACAAATCGCAGAATCTTACAAACGCGTTTGAGTAATTGCAAAAACAAATCAGGATAAATAACCACTGAAACACCTGCCTCACGTCTTCATCTGTTTACACCTTCAGATCACTGCCAGCAGTCAGCAGCCCGCTGTTGTTCCCGCTCCTCCCGCTGTTGCTGAAGTAAAGACGGGGGTCGGAGCGGACCCAGAGAAGGCTAAGCAGCTTGCAAAAGCTGTAGCGGAACAGGTTAGATTGCTAGCATGTAGCTAAATCTTATTAAACTAGGTCCGAAATAGTTTTTTTTCCAATATTCCTTTTTTTATTTTTGTTTTCCTGTCTTGATTAGAAAGTTCTGTTGTTCATGTGTGATACACATTCAAGGGTGACATTTATTAGCATTTCTGTTTAGGACCACTTGTATTTTTCCTATTACAGTTATGAAATGTTTTATTTAAAAAAAAATTAAGGAACCTCTTAATTTGATATTCAAAAGTCCTTTCTAAACCAATGGTTTTAATTGCAAGACATTTACTTTTTCTAACGAAGATGATTTTTTATTTATTACAGGGCGACAAGGTACGAGCGCTCAAATCCCAGAAAGCAGAGAAGGATGTGATCGCAGCAGAGGTTTCCAAACTTTTAGATCTTAAGAAACAACTGGCTCTTGCTGAAGGGAAGAGCCCTGAACCTGCAGCTCAGAAAGGCAAGAAGAAGTAAGAAAGAAAAGCGAAATGAAGGTTAGTCAGTGGAAGGGAGAATGGAAACAAGATGTACAGATGAGGGTATTAGCTTAAGGCTAAGCCGTAACAGGATCTAAGACAATGTGGTGTTGGCACCGAGGACTAATGAAATGCTGGATTGGCCGGCGGGGAAATGAAAACGCACAAAGAGACAGTCAAATGAATACAGATACAGAAAGGGAGGATTTCTCCAAATCCCTACACCAAAAGACACTGATTTTTATACTCTCCCTGTGTTCAAGTCAGCATTTGATATTAGAATTTGGAGGGCATGTTTGTATGTATTCAGATGGTTTTTATATCCTCTGGGGGAAAAAAATCTTTGTCCAAATATCCTTTTGATTTCATAAAATAAACTGATAAAGCAAAGGAAATTGCCTTTGTTGCCTTGATTTGTGTTTAAACAAAAACAGGTTTGACAAAGAAAAAAAATGCAAGAGTTTGATTACATTTTTATTGCAAATTTGTAATTACAATAAAAAAAATTGTATGCCATGAGTGATAAAATCCATGCATATTTACGAATTACAAATAATTTTTACTACAATAAGAAATAAACAGTATGTTTGAATAATACAGCACAAGCCATAACAGTACAATTGTATTTAAGAGTATATTACAGTTTATATAAAAATAGTAAATCAGAGTAGAAGAACTAATAAACATTTATGCCTCAGATTCCCATAATAGAAAAGCTCAGCATTAAAATGATAGGCAGGTTACTTGTTTTATCTAAATACAAGAACAAATGAGCCATGGGTTATACAAAGTTAAAAAAAGGTATTTTATTTTTCTTTTAAAAAATCTCATACTCACACTGCACTGGGCACTTTCTAAACTTTCCTGAGCTCCGAAACTCTCCAAAAAAAATGGGGCAAATAATCTCTGTGAGCCTGATTGTAGCCCTTAAAATTCGGGAGTTACAATTTTATTGCAGTATGGTGGGAATAAGATGACACTGACGTTCGCTCAAGCCTTAACACCTCTAAGTTAGACATCCAAATCAGCACCTGTTCATTCCATTTCATGGAACTTTTTTGCATTCCTTAAAATGACATTCATTAAATCCGCTGCATGATTTGCACTTCAAGCTTTCTTTCTTCATTCAGACATGCTGTTTCTTTTGATTTGCCGCAATGCTGCTGCAGCCTGTTCTCTCTCTGTACCCTCTAGTCTTGACTTTCATTACTTTCTTCCCTCATCTTATTTTTTTTTTACCAAAATCCATCCCTTGTGAAAAAAGAAAATAATTCTTTGGTATCCGTCCTCCAGAAAACCTTTTACCACTGCCTTACATCTTTCCCCACCATAGCTTTTTCTAATTGTACAGGACCCGTTTTTTTATTTTTTATTATTATTATTCTTTCATGTTCTTCCTTTCTCTTGTCCTCATTTCCTGGTGTTGACCAGCCTCTCAATCAGAGCTCTCCGTGTCCTCTGGACCTCTTCTCCTAGCCTTTCAATCTCTGCTTTCAAACGCTCATTTTGCTCTGTCAGCTCTTGCACCTTTCGCTCATTCTCTTGCTCTCTTTCTTTGCGGCTCTTTTTGGTAGAGGAGTAAGATGAACGTTGCATGGAGAAGGACAAGGCACTGTTAGCCCTCTCGCTGGTGGTCCTCTTTCGTTTTCCCAAACGGGAGGACGAATAGCCTGAGGGTGAGGAGACAGGTGAAGAGGGAGGAGAGCAATTTTGAGATGGTGACTGGGAAGCTGAAGAAGAACAGGATGGAGAATCTGGCACGCAGGGCAGTTCCTCCTCACTGGCTGAAGGAGATGCAGGATGGACGTTATTTGCAGGGTGGTGTTGGTGATAATAATAGCCACTGCTGATCACTGCTCCACTCGGATCCACCATTCCCACGCCTCCTTCACTCAGCAATTCAAAGAACTCCGGAGGCAGCAAGTCGCTGCCGCCTCCTGTTGAGCTATCTGCATTTCTCCCAGAGTCAGCCTCCACCTGACGTTCCTCTGCAACAGCTGGACTCATGCAGGAGGATGAGGAGGACGACAAAGAAGAGGACGACGATGAAGAAGTGTGATGCAGAGGCTGAATGGTGTGGCTCTCCTCTGTTGTCCTCTGGACGCCTTCAGCCCACGTCTGGTTTCCGTCAGTCAGCCACGTCAGAGAACAACTCTCAAGAACATCCAGAAACTCTGGCTCCTTCTATGATGAAAAAGTTGAAATGAAAAATATTATAATTTCAGCAATAAATACGGAAAAGGGGTGCAGTAAAACAAACTCATGAGGCTGTTATAATTTTGTCTGTAAAAACTACTGACCTCGGTGCATGTGGGGGCACGTGCCATTTTTGCCCCTCCCGTGTCGGAGCCCAGAATATCCTGCAGGTCCTCATACCACGCCTCCAACTCTGCACCATACAACGGCCCTACTCCAGGGGGGTACGGCGGGGGCAGGTGTAGCCACTCGGCAGTCATCTCGCCAATAAGTCTCAACACACAGATACTCGGCCACACGGTTTACACTGGACCTGTAGGGGAGGGAAGTCACCAGACCCAAGAGGGTTAGAAAAAAAACATTGGGGGGAGGAGAGGTGCAGAACAATAGATAACTGTCTCATTAAAACGAACTTTATAACAACATTTAATTCATAATTATTCTGCAACAGGTTTGATTAAAGTGTTAAATCTGTTTTTATCCCATGACAAACCATACTAGACAAAGTTGGACTATTAAATAATCTACTTAATCTGAACTGTAATAACTCTTATTAACTCAACAAAACAGTTCACATTTCAATCAAAACTACGTGTCAAATATGAGTTTAACTTTACCTTAGAAGTCTGTTAATCAAGTCTGACAATTTGTTGGAGACAGCTTATCCCAATAAATCTGAAACAAAACATGTAAAATGTTAGATGTTATTACATTTGTAATATCCCTGACTAATTGATAAAGGATTGTATATTTTCCAAAATAATATCGAGATTAAAGTTAAAACAGCTCAGACTGGAAACAAAAGGTCTGACCCTGTTTGCTTGAAATAAATAATGTAGTTTATTAGACAAAAAAAACAATACCATTTCATTTCTAAATATTTTTGTAGGCATTGTAAAAATAAGAGATTTATTTTCCTAAATTGTTGTAAACAAAGACAAAACATGCTCTCTACTGCGCCCCCTACTTTCGCCTGCACTCTAATACACATCAGGTAGATAAACAAGATGAGAAGACAAGGAAGCGCTGGAATCCGTACAGGTCAGACTAGGCTTTGTCTTCATTTTTTATTTAACATCAGTTTAATTGACTAATAATGATTTTAATCTACCAAACAAACTCCTACTGAGGCTGATATTTAAAGTCGGTTATAACCTTTTTGAATTCTATCTGAAGTTATTTAACGTTAAACAATTATTAGTTGTGATCTGGTTCACGGTGAACCCTTTTATTTGATTTCCTTTAAATGTTCTTACAGGAAATTCAATCAAAATCGACCATTTTCTTATTAATTAAATGGCATTTGAAGATTAAGTATAAAGTAAGCAGTTTTCTTGTTTAAGTTGAGATGTATGTCAACTGTAACGCAAGACAATTACGTCATGGAAATCAAAGTCCAGATGAAGAAATGGGCGCAACAAAAGGCACAGAAAGGAGTGGGTTTGGAAAACTAAATCCAAACATCTGTATTCACAGCTGGAAGCTAGGAAGATGTACAGAAAATAAACTGCTAATTTACACAAAAAATGTTTTAGCTTAGGAGTCTTACTTATTGAAAGAACAACAATTTGAGTTGTCAATAGTGAATACGGGAACTAAAACTATTATAAAAGTCCTTTTACATAGCCAGCCATTCCCAATATTTGTGTCGCTTTAAACTAACGGTCGAGCTTGGTAATCAAGGACAACACATAAATTGGCTCTATGCTGATAATGACAGATGAAGACAACTGTTATCCTAAAAATGGCACCGGGATATCTGCCAAAAAACATACACGTTCTATTTTCCCCCTTCATTCCAACACACGAAGACTTCAAGTTCACAAAACAACGAGAAAAAAAGCAGCCATTCCTTACCCTTTTTCTTCTATTCGCTCGCCTTCTCGATTGTCTAGAATTCGACTGTAGATATTTTAGTAAAAATTGGTGATAGCTCATGTTAACCATTGTTCAGTCTTGATGGCTGAATGTGATTTTACGGAAACTCCCGGTGGTGTTTTTATATAGGGAGAAAAGTCAACCGAACTATGCATGGGAAGTTAGTTTCATCACAATCTAGCTTGACAGGAGGACCGACATTAGAGCAGTCCAATCAGAAGAGCGGAGGTTAGAGCTTTGCCTTGGTGATATCCAATAGGCTAATCGGAATCGACAGTTTGGGCGGGGCTTGTAGTGAGTATCTGGCTGTTCCTTCCCGCCTGTATAGTTTGTGCGAGCAGCAGCTGTGATGCAGTCATAAGACGGCCAGGACGAATTTGGGGCGTAAGGGAGTCACATGAAAGGAATGATGCAATGCTTGGCAACCAATTTCTAGCTGGGGATAACACCAGCAGAATCAGAACATGTTTTATTAAACACTGTTGGCTCTAACAAAAATCTAAAAATATAAATATATGCATGGATGTCTAATGTCGAAGAATTGCTTTTTCTTCCGGAACATAAAAGCTGAATCGATTATTTTTAGGCAACTGTTTTGAATGTTGTTTTTTTTCCCTTTTTTTTTTTTCATTTTTTTTTTATATCATCCAACCAATCAATTTAGCGCTTACTAGCTCGTGACGTGCTTATTAATTACGTTGCCATCCGAAGTTTTTCTATTTGAGCTGTTTGTGTAAAGTTTGTGTGTGACCACACCTGCTTTACGGCAGTCTAACATTCCATCACCTGTGTGCTCCTTGCTTTAAAGTAACCTTACTGCTGTGGACAGTCGTCAGTATTTGTCAAATATATCTTATATTTATAATATATATTTGTCAATATATCTTTGTTAGAATTAGGCGGGGCTGGGTGTGAGCTGACAGTACACTGTCCCTTATTTTCTTCTTTTTTTTGTTGTAGATGATGAAACCTGGTAGAATTCATTACCCAGTGATTGAAACTTTTATTCAATCTTTCTCTCTGTTGCGTGACCATTGCTCTATCAGTAATGATCGCTCAGTTTATCCATACATTTTTATTTCTTTTTACACTAATCAACAGGATAAAACTTTATCTTATCAGAAATAGAATAATAATAAAACAATCAAGTCCAATATTTTAATGGGGCAGTTTTTTTTTTTTTTTTTTTTCTGGTCGTACCTTTTGCAGAATTTTCTGCTCTGTATGCCAATTAATTTATTAAGACTAAAGTGTTCTTTTAGGAAAATAAAGTTTCTGTAAAGACATATAAATATATATATATATATATATATATATATATATATATATATATATATATATATATATAAAAAATATATATATTTTCTATTTAAATTAATATTAAGTATTGCAAATATTGAGATGAGCTATATGAAAATATTTTAAATGAAAATATTTATTAAGTACTTCTCAAATCTAATTAGAATATGTAAAATTAACAAAATATATAAAACTGAAATAACTATTGCTCTTTTGATACTTTATTTAAAAATAATAAAGTGTCATATTTAGGGTAAACATAAATAATGACAATAACTAATAAAGGAAAACAATGACAATAAAATTATGAATAATAATTTAGTGACACATATACACACCTACTGTCTGATGGAGCTACATAAAAGAATTCTGTTTATTTGAAAAAGCTTTTTATGGAGCTAAAATAGTTTAGTGACTAAATTACAGCGCAGTAAAACTTTAACAGAACATCTGAGGAAACATTTCCAAAGTTCACCGAGGTCATTGTATAAAACGCACCATAAGATAAGAAAAAACTTTATTCCGGATTCATGGTCCAATAAATGGATACATAAAATAAAATAAAAATAGTTTATAATAAAAAAAACACAATACAAGTACCATTATCGACTAAATACGAACTTTAAGAAGACATAATGTCTTCATATGAGCAGATAAACAACAAGCGGCGACCAAATAAAAAAAAAAAAAAACGGATTCAAATCGAGTTTCATCAGGTTTCACTTTTGATGTTTCTGACACTTCTCTCCTCATCCCCGAACTCGCCAAACACACGCGGGCACGCGCTCGGACAGTTTTTTCCACGCGCCGCGAACCGCGCGCAGCCCCCATAGCAACAGCGTCAAGTAGCGAATAGAAAGCTCAAATACTGTCTCTAGGACCCGGGTTAAAGCGCTGCAGGAAGCACCCAGACACGTCACGACTTGAGTGGCTGTTGCCGAGTAGTTCAGCATACTTTCTCCGCACCCCTCCCTCCCATTTCCATGCTTGCCCGTCTGTTTGTTTTTGTCAGAGCCGTTGTCTGCCTTGTGTTATTATGAAACAGCTTTAGAGCCCATTGCCTAGATTGAATTACATTGTCAGAAAGAGTTGGGACTTGTTATCACGGTCCTTTCTTTCTTTACAAGCAGGTCTAGTCTAACTGCTCTACTTTGGGTTGAAAAATACAAAACAATCAAAGATGCAGTATAATATAAATAAGAGATAGAATTCATCTTGTGTTGTTCTTGCTTTTGTATTTCACTCATGCTCTGAGCTGACCGCATGTAAACAAACCACACTCTATCTGTCCATGTGGATCAGAGCTTTCAATCAGCTTTTCTTTCATTTGTTTTTGGAATTGCTGATGAAATGTTGCCTTATTAGTGCCTGCCTTAAAGTTATTACTCAAAATAAATGTCAATGGGAAGTCCCATAGTTGCTAAAAACAAATCCTTTATGTATATATGTGTATGTATCATTTATACATATTGATTTCATTTAGACAAAGAATAGACACAGTAAGAAGAGTTAATACTGGAAGGAGAATACAATTTTTAGAGTTAATTCATAATCAGATTTTGTCTGTATTTCTAGTTTTATAGGCTGATAACAAAGCAGTCTGGGGAATTTCCAGCCATCCATACCCCACTCCCCTCTTTTTCTGTCCCATGCCCTTGGTCAGAGCTCCACACCCAGTTTCTCCGCATACACACACATAAACACTTAGCAGCTGTCGAAATCCTTCCCCTTTCTGAACTGAGACCAACAATACAGCTGTTGGTGATACAGTCGATCCGTTTTGTTTTATGGAATCCTGGCTTGTCCTTTCTCTTTTCTCTTTATTTCTTCTCTTCTCTCGTGTCTGCTAAACAGCAGCAGAAATACATTTACATTAAGTTTTTTTAAAAATATATATATATATATATTTTTACTGCTCACTAGTGTTGCCTTAAATTGGAGATTTTTTTTTTTTTAAACAACTTGTATTTCAGTTGTTTTGGTGTTCATCTGACCTGAGACATTTACTGATTTTCTCTGGTGTGCGATGGCGTCCTCATTCAAATTTTATTTTCACAGGTTTAAGATATCAAGAGCTCACATGACGCAGCCAAAAAAGTGAGAAATGATCACAAGATTTTTATTTTTGGCCAAGTTTTCCTCATTAAGAGTTTGCCCAGATTTGGCAGCCAGGTTGTTGACCTGCTTGTGTTTGCAGACAGCCTTATCAGTCTTCTAATCGTTGCATGTATTTTTACTTTGTTTTCTCCATCTTGCCTGTTTTTCACTACAAGCCTCATGAACGCGGGCCAGTCACCCCGTTTTACTCCACTTACAGCAGCTCACCTTTTCTCTCATCAATCTGCCTCACAACAGCCTTCCCACCTGTCCAGACCCATTCAAGAAAATCTGATGCAGAGTGACTGTGTGTGATTTCAGGTTTCTGACATCAGCCGGTATTTATTCTTATAACCTTTTGTTCCAGTTTTATTTCCATTGCAAACATTTCTACTATGTATATTTTGTTTACATTTGGTAACCCTGATTATAATTTTATTTAAATCGTTGAAACCCTTTTACCCTATTTTTAAAATATCAGTAGAAGACAGGATGTGTTCTCTGTATGCAGAGCTACTATCGGTTCTCTGATTTGTTCGTTCTGTTCTCTGTCAGAGTTAAGAAGACCAAGAAGCAGGTGGAAAAAGACAAGACACTGTGGGTCATAAAAGTTTAAATGCCCATCTGAACAGGTGGGTTACTGGCAGTGAAACACATTCTCCCGACTCTTACACCATCCTTTTCTTCCTTTTTGAAGTTTTTCCCATATCAGCACCAGAAACTGAGATTTTTGTTTTTTTAAGAGAGAAATCCATGCACCCAGCACCCACTGCTATAGTCTCCCACATACCTTATATATTTACTTTGACCAGAGGTGTAATCAAGGTTCCAAATCCACTGTTAGATTAAAAAAAGAGTGTTTAACCAATCATAGCCATTAATTATGGATTTGAGTCTATGACCATTTAAAGGATTCCTGTTTTTTAATTTATTCTCCCCATAAATAAATACTTGATTTGTAAGGAATTTAGAATGTCTCTTCGTAGATAAGAGAAAGACAAATGCAGTATAACATATGTAGAAATTTTGTCTGTGTTAATGCGGAGCATTCCCCTCCCAGTTGGAGCCCCAGATCTAATTCCCTGCATGTTACACTTGATACATCTGGTGTCAGCTGGCTGGTCCTCTTCATCATATGTGTTTAGATATAAAAATAAAGATTAGAATTTATCATTTTACTTCTAATTGACTAATGTAAAGCCAAAAACTTCCACCTTGAATCATCCGCTAACAAAACTCACAGGGGATGATGTCTCACCTTTTTCCCTACCGTAACCTGACCTAAAACATGAGGCAACATTTTGCTGGAATACTTTACATACGTTAAATGCCAGGAGGATTTGAGCTTGACCTCTGACACAAATGTGTCCTTTAGGAATACATGTTACAAAAAAAAAAAATATATAATAATAATTATATATATATATATATATATATATATATATATATATATTCATTCGGTTTTTGTAACAGTCTTTGTGTGAACACAACTAACCAGTACAAGCTCAGAAGAGAAATAAGGGCTTTCAGGTGTGTTAGGACAGGTTTTTAAATATTTAGAAATGGTCTATCCAGCTGACCATTTTAAATACTGATATCTGATATTTTTTAATTTCTAAAACATTTAGCTATACAGAACTATTTAATAACTAAACAAATGTTTTAAAATGGAATATGAATGGAGCTTTATGAATAAACCTCATATCTATACATTTGCTTTGTTGGCTTTTTACACACTATACTGCCACCATGTGGCCATACATTGTAGAGCAACTAGAAATGTTTTTTCTTTTCGCTCTTTATAAGGGCAATATTTTTTTCAAAGGGATTTATTTTCCCCATTTTCTTCTATGGTTTTTTAAAGTAGTCATTACTTCATCTGAGCCTAATTATAATCCCTTTATTTGAATATATATCATAACTACTTTTGACAAACTTTTTTTTTTGTCTTAGCCTAATGCTATGAAATAAATGGAGCCAGATTTATGACATCTTGATTTATTGATCAGCGTCGGTGACCACAGATGAACAGTAATGTTTTAAGCAATGAGAAAGCAGATTAAAAGTTGATCTGTTGTGTCTCGGTCATAATAATATAGTTACAAGCAACCGAGCGTGAACAAACAATAAGGTACACCGGCATATTTACAAGCTTTCCTTCCCCATCGTGCTTCTGATACAATAAAGGACAATTGGTTTTAATTTTTAAATACATTTAAGAGCTGACTTTTCCTCTTACAACCAAACTGGGATTCATTTATTTATTTATCCAAAGTTACAGTACAAATCCACTATTAGTGTAACCCCTCCCGAGAAGAAGTAGGAGAACCTTTAACATGAATAAAAAAACAAAAGGTCCAGTCTAAAACTTGATAAGCTTAACAGGAGTCTGCTGTTGCTTGGATGTTTGGAATTAAGGTTATTTTTAAATTACATCAGTTTTATTCAAGGAAGAGGAAATGAGCGTGGACGTCTGAAGAACTTTTGGTCTCCTTTTGTTTTCTTCATCTTGTCAACTTTCTAACATTCCATTTAGTGAAAAAAGGCAGAGGCTGAAGTCAAGAGCAAGAGAGGAGCGTCCAAAACCCAAAAAGGTTACACCCTAAACACTGCGGATCTGTGCTCTCTAACCAAACATTTATTGTCCATGCTCTACTCTCTCCTGGACCATTTCAAACTCGGCCACAGTTTATTTGGAAAGTTTCTTCATCCTCTGATCCAGAGCTGCGAAGTTCTCTTCAATAGCCACCAGATTTTCCTTCATTGTCTGCTGGACCTAGTGGATAAAAAACAAAACAAAAAACAGCTGTTTCAGAGGTAAAGTAGGGATTTAGAAATGTGCAAAAAAAAAAAAAAAAAAAAAAAAACTTTAAAAGTGTCGACAATGGTTCATTAATGAGAGGAAAATGATCTGTCATTTGTTTCCATTAATTTCTACAGCCTAATCCTAAGTCCAACAAAAACTCAATTCACACCTTAGTCCTAGACCCCTTACCAAAAAAACAGCAATTCCCTGTGTGGCATTAAAGCATTTTGGGCCCAAAAGGGGCCATCAGTCCCCACAACGTGCCATTTTCCCAGAAAATGGCCTCCACACATATATACGTATACATGTATAGAGAACATACATTTTAAACATTAGGTGGAGTTATATAAAAGGACAGAAAATGAAATACTAACTTAACTTCTAATCCCGCTCAACTTCTAACAAACTTAAAATGTCATCAAATGTACAAAGAATATTTCATATTTGAGACACTCAAAAAATGTTCAGCAGACCTAAAATTGCTCCACTTTTTAAATTTGATCAATTTTACAGAAATGTCTGAAACAGATTAAAACACCAGCCACACCCAAAGTATAAAACACAGAAAGCTTTCATTATCAAGTGATTTCTGTGATTTGATGCACTCTAGCAGTTTGATAAAGGGACAGTTTCAAGTTTTTTTCTCTCCCCTAAATCTGAAGAAACAAAAAGAAACAGAAAAACAAAAATCCAGCTGTTACTTATATTGCGATCTGACTGAGCAACACTGGATGTGTTTTAGCTATTCCTTAAGCCGCAACTGCTGATCTCTGCCTTTCTGCCAGAAAAAAATAAGCAAAGGAATGAGTTTTCTTGTAATCTAACCCAAGTTCACATAACTGCCTCAGAGGATGCATTAAAACCTTCCAAGCCCTAAAACCCAACCTTACCAATAAGGAAAAAGGCTCAATCATATTTATTGCTGCCTGTATGGAGGGAGAGAAGCTGAGGAAGATAAGTTCTGTTGTTTATTACTCCAATAAGCTAGATCTAGCTAGATGTTAATATGAGTTTATGTAGGATAAACAAATGCTAACCTAAGATCCCCCGGGAGAAAAGATGTTCCGTGATAAAAATAACTAAACCTAAAGCAGATGTAGATTACACTTTCTGAAATCTGGTAAACAAGCCAGTAAAGTTATGTTTATACCTCTCCTCTTATAAACATATGGTAACAAAGTATATAAACTAAATGAGAAGATCCTTAGAAAAGCCCTGAAATATCAAAAACAACCTGTGCACTAGTCTAGTCTTTGATCCCCACATTAATCCATACATTAAATAGCTGATAAGACTGATTTTATAAGAGCTTATTAAATCTTTAACATGAAAATGTTTTCTAGCAATATATTCTACCTGATCTAAAATGAAATGAGCATATCCATCATGTTTATGTTGCATTATAATTTAATATTTGTGTCTTTCACTTAAGAGAAAAACTCTCCACCAATCCAGTTCCACATCTCCAGCCATTGTTCAATAAGATTAATGCTGCTGCAGCCGATCCAGCAGCAGTAAACTTCCTACCTGTGTTAGCAGGGTGTTGTTATCTTTCAGAGAGTTGTTGATCATCTGCTGAGTCGTGTCCAAGTGAGTCAGCAGCTGGCCAAACTGCATCGCTGTAAGACACAGATGAGTGAAAAAGGACAGAGTCAAACAAAGTTTAGGATATTTATTTCCTCCTTAAAAAACAGACAAAACCGACGTGTTTGTGTGATGTGAAGTAATGAGTGTTCAAATGATTACAAATTCATATATTTGTTTTAATACTAATAAAAGGAGAATAAATGGTAGCTTTGAAATGTCTCTGCTTTTCAGTACTGGGTTCTCCAACGAGATTGTGTTGATTTAACTGTATCGCCTGTCTCAATCTCAACTGTATTTTTGTTTTCATTTTCTGCCTCACTCAAAAATTCCCTTTTGGATCACATTTTCGATATTAATCAGGAAAAAGCTGGAACTGATCAAGCTGTTTTGATCTGTGGTAACTTCCTGAACAATGAGAATCTAAAATGCTCTAGTATGGCTAATCCCATCCCTACTAACCAGTGAAAAAAAAAAAAACTTAACTATCATGGGATTCATTTCAAGGTTTTTCTACCCTGAAATAAAACACCATGGGAAAGATCCCAGTGTTATTGCTTCCAACTTATGTAAGGTTTGCCTGAAATGCAATATTATTACAACATTTGCAATATAAACCAATACTGTACTTTTATGTTTGAGGGCTTTCTTTTGCCTTGGGAAGGTGATCCTTTAGTTTAAAGACTGTAAATGTATGTAAATTAGTGCAAAGAGTGATTCTGCCAAGCAGTCAGTTGCTTTTCCTAAAGTCTTACCCTGCTCATGCAACTCCTTCACAGCAACAAGCCTCTGCACCACCTGAGGTATGGAGGTGGACACAGCGTCCCACTTCTGCACCACGTCGTACAGCTGCGACACCTGACAAGTACACAAAGAATTGTAAATAGTCAAAAACATTGTCCCATCTACAAAACCAAGCTGCTCACAGGGTCTTAAATCCAGTTGTCAGAGATGGAGAGAGAATCCCTCAAAGCTGGGGACACATCTCACCCCAACAGACTGGGTTTTATTTCATGACTGAACGACCCGAGTTCACAGTTAGCTGTCCCTGCTCAGGATGAAAGACCAAACCAACTAAAGAATGTCTGCTTTTGTTACACACAGCATAAAATAAAAGGGCTGGGGTTTTAAGATGTTAAGTGTGCCCCACAAGTAAATATATCATTTATAGTGTAAAACTAAAATTATTTTAAATGCCCATGGCGAGTTTGGAACTTAGAGGTTGTTTTGTGATATAGATGTTATTTGTAACTGACTGTATGTTTTAGTTGATTGATTAAATAAATTGGTTTGTATTTGGAAAATACTAAGTCCAATTAAAATACAATGGGAACTAGGGCTGGGTATTGTTCAAAACTTTTCGGTTCCGGTACCAATACCGATACCTTCACTTCGATACCGGTTCCTGAACGATACTTTTTTCGATACCAGTTTTATAATATCAATTCGAGAAAAAGAAAATTACACAACATAAAAAAGTACAAATCTTGAGTTTTATTTTAAGCTCTGATTTTTCCATTTACATTTTTCCTCTTACATAAAAAAAAAAAATCAGTGTCTAATATTCACTGTGGCATTGTGAGGACCTTTTTACTTAGCAGTTTTCCTTTAGAAATATTACCATGTCTGACAAACAAGCCCGTTGAATGGGATCCTATGGACAGAGCGCCGCTGGTATGTGTGGGTCTGAGCGGCTCCGACAGAAATATTGGAAGGCAGGATGAACTGACTGCACTGATTAAGTTTTCAGGTGGATTTTCCCACTTAAAAACATAATAAAACTACTTTATTCACATTGATCACAGCAAATATAGCTGCAAGACAAATAAAGGATAGAGTAGCTCCGCCCAACGCGCGTCAGACACACTTTACGACCGCGCAGCCAGAGCAGCAAAGCTTCTTCAGCCGCGCGTCAGAAGCTGGTACAAGCAGCAAAAAAGGAAGCAGCAGACGGGATTTTGCTGCTCCTGCTGCGTCCAGTTTGAAAGCAGCATTCTCCAAGAGTGTCTCGCATTATTCACTCC